ACGCAGAACAGTCTTCATAGAGATGCATTGATTCAAAATTCCTGTATGTGGAGATGCTGATTGGCGCAGCGTGGGCTGAGCCAACCAGCGTAGCTCTGAACTAAAGTTAAGTTGATTACATTTTTAAGAGAGGTAAGCGGGGGGCAGTAACATAAATAGTGTTTTTTAACACTATAGTATCAGGAATCAACGTCTGTATTCCTGACTCTATAGTGTCCCTTTAATGATTGCATAAAAATGGGAGCTGATATATATGGACAACTCTCAGTAATGGTGGTAAAATTACATGCAAAAGTATTTTTTTCTTTCAACAGCATGGCTCAATATTTAGTTATACAGGATTTAATAACTTAAAGTAGCATTATAAGCACCAAAACACTTTAGTTCAATTGAGTGATTCTGGTGTACATATCATATGCCTGCAGTTTACCTGGTTAAGTCTCTACCATTTAGGATTTAAATCACTTTATTTATGCAACCCTAGACAAACCTTAAGTGCATGTGACCTACACCGTCTTCCTACACATTTCCTGTCAAGAGATTTCTAATGTTTAAACTTCCTTTAAAGCACATTCTGTTGAATGCACCTTGTGTGTGATTAAAGCACAGTTAACAGAGCAGGAGATAAAAACTTCTAAAGTAAATACACTGTGCTGTCACATCTGATTGAAAACTAAACCATTTTGTTCATGCAGACTGTGTGAGTCACAGCCAGTGAAGGTGTGGCTAGGGCTGTATAAACAAAAGCAAAAATGAATTAACTACTAAATAATAGAGAATTGTACAATGAGACCGCAGGGGCAAGATCTTTGAACTACAATTGCTTCAGTAAGCAGAAGTTGTTTTGGTGCATAGAGTATCCTTCTAATGTGGCCCAGCCATTGCCTGAGGTTTTTTAATATATTGCAAAGACCTCTGATAGTGACTACTCTGCTTGGTGTCCAGTGTCCAAGGAAGGTAAGTTTTACTTACATGAATCAGTTCCTTGTGGCTGCCGTCAACATTGAGGTCTATGGAGCATCCCGCGAGACCGCAGGATACTGTATAGACAACGCCCTTTTCTGTATAATCGTCACTAGTGACGGCCTGGGGAAAATGACAAAAACTTGAAGGCAGTCAATCAAAGGTCTTCAGTAGGAAGTGCATATTGCATAATATAGGCTAAAGCAGCTGATCTTCAGAAGTTTTACATCACATCACAGCCCAAATATTTTAGCCAAAATTGTGCCCTCTCATTTTTAATTCACTAAAACATGAGTATTTGCATTCAGCCTCAGTGATCAGCTCGGAATCTCAGAGTATCTGAGATTTGCAGGGGACAGAGCTAGAGTTCTGAAAAGACCCCGAACGCTTCCTACTGCCTGTCCCTGCTGATAGTGATCGGCACTGGTCTTTGTTAAGGACCTTTTTAAGGTTTGGGGTTTGTGTTAATGTGAGGCCTAAGGTTGGTGTTAGGCATAAAGGTAGAATTACGGGTAGGGTTAGGTTTTGACATAGCACCAATGTTTGACACTGGTCAGTACGATGACACAAATAGTATCACTTCACCAAACTGTGTCCCTAGTAAGTAACCAAACAGCCATGTCAGAGTTAGGATATGTCGGTTATTTGACCCTACAGTCCCTCACTTTCCTGGCAAAGGTATGCATGTGAGGTATCATTTTACTCAAGAACAGTAGCAGAATACAAATATGGGGTCTATACAGTAGTTGGATACACACTGTCTGTGTTATAACCCATGATAATAAAAAGAATTGTGAAAAACACCCAAAAATAATTATACCAGCAGATTTAACCTAATTGGTTAAATTAAAAGTGTCAAAATGTTCTTAGTTAAATAGCCTGGAGGATATACTTTCTACTAATATATACGTTTAAGTAGCAGTTTTGGATTCTGTAACTACTATTAAACTTGGAATCACTGAATGCCGAATTTTGCAAAGGATTAGCTTTAAAACTGTAACTCAGTCTTTGCATTATTTATAACTTCTAAAACGTAATTGAAATCCTAGACATATTGGGCATTTTAACAATCAGAGTTAACTAGGCAATCTATTTAAACATATTTTTCTTTCGATATACTTGTATTGAAATGATTAAACGCAAAACTGGAGAATTTTATTTCTCTTTATTTTTTTAATTCACATTTAATGTTGCGCTATGTATAGAAGTAGGGTATCAAAACAAATCCCCATTTGTCCTTTAAGTAATGCTATGCAACAAGAAAGGATGAAATTGTAGTAAAATGACACATGGCAAAAGTGTCAAAAGGGCCTTGGTCATAAATGTGATACAACTCAAAAGAGCCATGGTCCTTAAGGGGTTAAACCCCAGGTAAGCCTCCACACCATATTAAATATATTAATAATGTGTGTGCAAACTATTATGGGAGAAGTCTCTACCTGTGCCAATGAACATGCAATATGTGCAGAATATTTTACAGGAAGCTTTTGCTAATAATACCATTTCTGTTTTTTTAATGAGTTTTTTTTTTTTTCAAGTCTCCTTGTTGTGAAGAGTTAATCCTGCCCTCCAAGCTGTGGAGGGTTAATCCTACTGTAGGCTTAGTAACAATGTAGCACTGACTGAGGGTGCCCCCTTACCCTCCTTCCAAATCTTCCATAACTGTGCACAAGTTCACTAAAGGTGTGTTCCAGCAGATGGGAGTGTACTCTGTGTTTGCTGTGCTAAGTGTGCCTCTTGCTAAACCTCCCATTCTGCTTTTTGCCTCTCTGGGGAGTTTGAATCCCAGAGGGTCTCCGAGGAAGGAGCTGCAGCAACGTAGGAGACCATGAGGAAATCATATACAGGTGAGGGGACTTTAATTGCATGAAAATTTTATTAAATTGAAGGGGAAACCCTGGATCACAGTCAATGCTTTTACTTGCTAAACTTCATGCATATCTTTCCAAGCTTTTATGTATTAATATTCATGATCACAACATTTAAAATATGTGATACGTCATAAATTATTTATAGAAAATGATTGTGCTAAGGTAGATTCCCAGCTGAAACTACAACACCCATCATGCTTTGCCAGCCTTATTCATGGGATAGCTGGGGGATATGACTTATGTGCATCATTGTGTTAGAATTTGCACTCATGGAGACATTGATACTTTCTAAAATATTAACATTTTTGTTTTCATCCCCACCCTCTGGCAGTGAATAATACCCTTATGGTGTGTGACCTTACAGTTGTTAGCAGTGTAATTACAGGACATAATTACAGATCAGTATGATTAGCTTGGAGGAGAGTGCTTGGGGTGAAGGGGGGACAAAACAGTGACTTTCACCTACAGTAAATGGATTCATTGGAGAAGGAAAGCATGTTTTAAGCAAAAAGTGTCAGAAGAAAGTTTTGAAGCTGGAAGCTGTCAGCTAAGCTGAAAATGTGAGGAAGTCCTGCTTCATGGAGAAGGGAGGGGGTAGTGGATCAATGGCATAGCTCTCCAGTGGAGGTGGGGGGAGAGAGGCTAACGTTGGGAATTCAGTGTACTGTTGACGTAAAAGAAAGCCAAGTTGTAAATATAAAATATGGTGAATGCAATTAAAATCTGCCATTTTAAAGAATTAGAAGGGATAGGACAAACTGTTGTATTTTTATTTTACGTTTTAGTGTATTTTTTTAACGTTTCTGAATTGCACGCTCAGTTACGCCTGTTTATGTATGAATATTGGGAGTTTAGTAAAAATCGCTATTCTGGGGCAAAGTAAGCAGTCGTTGTGGAAACCAGTGGAATGTTTCGCATTTAGAGACTTACCCAAGAATTGCTCATTATACATAATCCCCATAGATTTCAGTGGTAGATAAGAGGTAATTGGCCTATCTACTCTGCCCGACTCCTATCTAAAAACAATCTTTATTCTTGCTTTTTGCTTTTTTTTCCTTCATTTTTCAAAACCATCACAGCAGTGCCATATAGTTTATAATCACAATGGAATGTCACGTTTAAAAGGAAAATACATATGCGGTGATGAAGTTCTGTGATAGGCCATAGATCAATGAAGTCTGTTTATCAGAAGTAATAAAGATTATTTGAAGGAATGGAACTTTGATCCTGAGGAATTTAGACCTTGAGTAATCTACCAGGTAGAGAAAGTAAATTCGTATGTCACCGAAAGGTAAATTGCATGTCAAAAAAACTGCTTATATGTAGACCACTTGTATCATTTAGGCATTGTTTTTTGCAAATAAAAATTGGCCATTTAAAAAAAAAAAAATTGCAATTGATTATAGTCTACCACAGTAGTAGTATTTTTTGTGTATTACATAGAGCTCATTCTTTGCCTTGTTTAGAGCACTGTTCGCCATCACACGTTCGTCCGCTTCCTAAACGCGACACTTGATCAATTCCTAAAATTTATTACACGCAGACCACAGGGTGTACTTCGCAACTTTTATATTATCGTCCATTTAATTGCAAGTTAGATCGAATAGAGAGAACTTCACTTATACGATCATTCTGTGTCACTTCGGATATTGGATACAGTATTTTGTATTTTAGCAGAGTACCTTTAATGTCTGGATTGTTTTATCAGAGATACACACAGTTATTCTCAGGGAAATATTAACAAATATTCCAATATATGTAAGGACAATTGTCACTTCAAGACTATTAATCTCAGGTTTTGAAATCAAGTATATATATATAAAAAAAAAAAAAATATTAGAATAACTTGTCCTTTCTTTTAGTAAATGATAGGATCCTTCAGCCACATACACGCATCTTGGGTCGTATAGTGTTCGAACACCGAGAGTAAGTCTCTATGGTCTTCCCTGCTTCACTTCCTGCGCAAAAGCAGGGAAGACCATAGAGACTAATTATTGGTTTTCAAACACTATCTAACCCAAGGTGAATGCATATGGCTGAAGGATCCTGTCATATACTAAAGGTAGGGATTAGTGATGTCCCGAACTGTTCGCCGAACGGTTCGCCACGAACGGTTCGCCGCAGACTCATCATTGAGTAAACTTTGACCCTGTACCTCACAGTCAGCGGACATATTCCAGCCAATCAGCAGCAGACCCTCCCTCCCAGACCCTCCCACCTCCTGGACAGCTCACTAAGAATGCAGCTTCACAATGGATGCTGTCCAGGAGGTGGGAGGGTCTGGGAGGGAGGGCCTGCTGCTGATTGGCTGGAATGTGTCTGCTGACTGTGAGGTACAGGGTCAAAGTTTACTCAATGATGAGTCCGCGGCGAACCGTTCGTGGCGAACCGTTCGGGGAACAGTTCGGGACATCACTAGTAGGGATGCATTTTTCTCATTTTGTTACATATAATTTATTTTAAAAAATAAAAATTGATGAAAGGGATATTATATTAAAAATAGTTTTGCGGTGACAATATTCCTTTAAATAATAGAATCTAGCCCTCGATATCCAATGTCACCTTCTGCAATAGTTAAAAGTGGTTTGTTTGTTTCGTAGGAAAACCTGGCACACAGGAAGCATAGAAATCTTAGTTTGCAGGAACAAGACTGATCTGGGCTCCTGGGATGGGCTGTAACACATTAGGATTTCACAAGGAGCTTTACACAAATCACAGTGGGTTATCTTTGCTCTTAGCAGACAAATCAGAAAGCCTGGATTATTCTAGACCTTGGGAATGCATGGCACTTGTGATTAACTCTTTAATGTCTGTAGCCTAAAAATATGTACTAAAACATGCCTCCTAAAACTTCACAGTAGCTTTAGAATGGTGACACTAACACTTGGTAGAACTTAAAAATTATCAGTATTTTTTATGGACTGAATTTTTTATGGACTGAATTTATTTTCTTAATTTAGGTTGTGTAGGTGTATATTTTGAATTATCTGTAGAAACAGACCCGGGTAACAATTCTGGAAATCAGTTTAAAACTGATGGACAAAAATTAAAAGTTTTTTTTTTTTTTTTTTACATGCCGGAATTGGGAAGCGCCCACATCCAGGATTGTAGATGTAGTTTTAGGACTAGTTGGGGAACCACTACTCTATGGAATATTCTGCAAAACGTCTGAAATTTGTGTTTATTCACAGATGGTCTGCCCTATATTGTATTATTTATTTTAAAGGTTATATCCAAAATTGATCTGAGAACTGGAATTTAAATATTATGCTTTCTATTTTTCGCACCAATTTTAGATTTTGTCTAATGCTTTGCAAGTTTTGCACTGTGATGGGTCAATTGCACTGTGAAAATTAAAGCAGCACTTTCAGAACCCCCCCACCCTCCCGAAAAAAATTGTATTTCATAAAGATAGACTCTTTATGAAAAATGGTAATTTTGACTGCGTTGGAATTTTACTGAAATTCCAATCCAGTCAAGAGATATACAGAGACAAAGTAGGGACTGCTTTGTCTCTGAATTTTTCCTATGCCTGACACTTCTAGACACTGGATGGAGCTACCCATCTAGAAGTGTCAATCCCACCAGCCACCACCAGTGATAACTGCATGGAATTGGCTTTGTCTATGGAGGTTCCCACCCTCCAGAGACCTCAATGCTGTACTCTCGCACATGCTGAAGAGGACCAGCCAGAGACAGGGACAGGTTCAGGTAAGTAAATCTCACCTTTACCTGCAATATCCCCACCGGACCACCAGCAGCATTGTGTGGGGTTCTTTGCAAATTCTGCAAAGACAGGGATAATGCAATTAATGAAGTTTTATTTTACATTGTCTTTTTTACTAGCACTTATTAGCGGCAATTTTTTTATGGTTTTATGGTTGTACTTATGTAGCCTTAGTGCACTCTCCAACCTTATAGCACTCATATATGAGACCTACCAACCGCAAAAATACCACAATCAGCACACATCAATCATGCAATATCCATGTATTAACTGAGAGCACATACATGTTAGAATATCTCACTCATCACCCACATTTCTACCACATATCAACTCAAAGCACACGCCGACCACGAATAAACCCCACAGCGCCCAATTACAGGGGATCTAAGAAAAGGTTAGGCAACCTTTCGGCACGCCAGATGTTATGAACTACATCTCCACTGATCTTTTGCCAGCATTTCGACCGCAGGAGCATTATGGGAGATGTAGTCGATAACATCCAGTGTGCTGAAGGTTGCCTACCCTTTAGTTACAATATCAATTGCACTTTTACATACATCACATTATTAACTCCCACACTGTACTACAGAGAACCTTCCAAAATTTGAATCGTAGAAAAGAGTTAAAGTGACACTATAGTCACCAAAACAATTTTAGATTAATGAAGTAGTTTTGGTGTACAGAGCATGTCCCTGAAGTCTCTCTGCTCAATTCTGTGCCATTTAGCAGTTAAACCACTGTTTCCCAAAGCACTGCTATGTTCCTCAACAGACATCAAACCAGGCCTTTGTACAAGATTATGTACCAGGGCTACAATATATCTTTTGGCAGGGTAATTCTTGTATTCCTTCACTGGGTGCATTGCGAACATATGCCTGCCGTCATGCAGTACACGCTGACATTGCAACATCGGTGCTTTACAATCGGGGTGGCACTAATATGCCGAATCAGCATCTCACTAAATATAAATAACACATTAAATCTTCCTGCCGTCAGACCCTGCAAACCGTACGTGCGTGGATTACATGCAGAAAGCGTTGAGCCTTGCTGTGTGCTTGGAGGATTAGTGCCATAATTGCATTAATCTCGCAATTATGGCACCGATTTCAGTCCTCGGATGTTCCGTTTGTATTATTTTACATAGCTGTAATTTTTTTTTTTATATATATTTTAACTAGTGTCTAAATCCATACAAAGGAGGATGGTTAAATATGCAGCATGTATAATGACTTCCACAGCAGGTGGGTTAAAATATTTAAATCACAACAGCCCAAAATCTGCTTTATATTTTGTAACAGAACATGCCAAGTGTGTTACGCTGATTGTCAGGGTTGTAGTTGATCTTCTACGCTCCTGTATTTATTCATTTTATCAATTTGGCAATCGGCAAGTTAGTCCGTGAAAAAAAAAAGCATCCTTTTACATTTGTGGCTTACTTCATTGCCATCCCCCACCCTTAGCATTCATTGCCGTTATCCCTGCGCTGAGACTTCAAGGCAAGAGACAGCATGTTACGATGACACAATGCATGGAAAATAAAGCTTTTACACGCAGACCCCGAGGCAACGCCGCCTCTGTTTTAGGTATATGCCAGATCTGACCAAACCCATTGACCCAGTGTTCAATGGATGACATAACCCAGTTCCCTGACAGATCCACCTCCCTGAAGATTTAAGTGGCTGATGAGTAAATATTATGGCGATGATGATACAAGCTTGTTACAATGCAGCAATAGAAACTGTCTTCATTGACTAAACGTAAACTTCTTGATTAGCTGTTGCATGAATCTCCAACGGGAAGCTCTCCAATAGTTGTAGGACTCCTACTCCCATAGTGCTTTGCCAGAGGTACTTCTACTCCTACGTAGAGATGTCGCGAACTGTCCGCCGAACTGTTCGCGAACTGTCCGCCGGCGAACAATAGCGTGTTCGCGTTGGGCGAACATATCCGATTTCCGGTCCGCCCCTATACGTCATCATTGAGTAAACTTTGACCCGGAACCTCACAGTCAGCAGACACTTCCTGGGAGGGAGGGTCTGCTGCTGATTGGGTGGAATGTGTCTGCTGGCTGTGAGGTTCCGGGTCAAAGTTTACTCAATGATGACGTATAGGGGGCGGACCGGAAATCGGATATGTTCGCCCAACGCGAACACGCTATTGTTCGCCGGCGGACAGTTCGCGAAGAGTTTGTCGGACAGTTCGCGACATCTCTACTCCTACGATGCTCTGACACTTGTAATCTGTAGCTTAGATTAGCATGCTGTGTTATCGGGAGAGAATTCACAGCAGGTGATTTTTGTGAATTTTAGGTCACAGTTCTTTCAGCTTTTTATTAAAAAACCACAGTTAGTTTGATTCATAACATTAAAGGGTTACTCCAACCACCATGACCACTTCCCTGATTTCAAGTGGTCATGGTTGTAGGATTCTGTAAGTGCAGCGTTTCTGTTTGAAACACTTTCGGAGATATATAATTTCTTGTTCAGGGGGCTAGTTACACCCCTGGCACAAGTGTTCCAGGCTGCGTAATATCAAATCTGTGCAAAAAGTATGTCTGCTCTGTCTATCCTCCCTCCTTGCAGCCCTGCCTCCTTCCTCATCCTCTTGTCACCCACTCCATCCCCCACTTTGCCGGCTCAGAGTGTGCGCATGTGATCCGAGCCAGCATAATGGACCAGTCAAATGATTTTCCATGAGAAGTATTTGATTAGACTGCGTGAGGCTGTTGATGACGTCAGGCTGAGGAAGGAGATCAGCAACAGGATTACAGGGAAGTTTAATACCTTCTTTTTCAGGTTTCAACTATGGTAACCTAGGTAGAAATGCCCCAAAAAGTATTCCTATTTGTAAAAAAAAAATTTTTTAAAGACATGTTAAAAAGGGTGACAGTAACTCTTTAATGCAGTTGTTTGCACCAGTTGGTTGTAATCTATAGCGCTCCCACTGAAAACTGCAGGAGCTCAAGGATTGGCTGAGCCACGTCCCACTGTCGCGAATACAGGACAACTTGAAAGTTCGGTATATATATATATATAATAGTATATATCTTTTTTATTTTTTTCCATAATCAATGTCAATTCATCCAACCTAGACCAACACAGATTGTCTGAGATATATTACCATTTGTGCCAGACTCGACCCCGGTACGTTAAGACAATGAATGTCCGCCAGGTTAGACAAAATGATAATTTTGCATTACCGCTTAGATCGCAGTTGTCCCTCATCACTTGCAAGGCAATCGGTTTATATAAAACCATTCTTAAACAGTTAGATATTAAGACGGGGAATAGTGCCAAAGGAAATTCAGGCAACCTAACTGCTACAGTTGGCTGTATTGGTTAGATTGCTTAGAGCGTCCATTTAAAAGAACTCTCCAAATCCCTAAAGCACTTCAAGTGCTGTAAGGATTAGAATAGTGTCCCTCTCTTCCTCTTGCATTTCATAAAGCTCCTAGGTTGCATCCTTTTGGCTGGCAAGCAGACAGCCAAAACGGGCTCTTCCTCATAAGCTTTGAATGGTCTCTCAATGTGAGTGTAAGACTTCACATAATTAATTCATTGCTTCTTTATGACAAGCATTGCTGCGCATGTACCCTA